GGCTGCCATAACATAATACCACAAAGTGGGGGCTTTAAGGAACAGAAATTCATTCTCTCAGTTCTAGGGCCAAGAGTCCAAATCAGGGTCGCAGCCCAGCTGGTTCCTCCTGCAGAGCCCTCTCCTGCTTCCCGGTGTCCGTGGCTCTCCTTGCTGCTGGCAGATGTATCTGCCTCTGTCATGACAGGGTGTCTTTCGCCCCCTGTGTGTCACTCCCTTGTCACCAAACACCACTCAGAGAGAATTAGGACTAGGACCCCCTCCACTCAAGGGCGTCTTCCTTTCGTGCACTGAAAAGAAAAAGAAAAGTCCTATTTCCCCAGACAAGGGCATGTTCACAGGGGGAGGTCTTCAGTGAATCTTTTTTGGGGATACACTGAGCTCAGACCCCCCAGACTTCATCAGGTTTGGATCTTCTGCCTCCGTTGAGCCCTGGCCTCTTGGTCACTCCTGTCATGCTCCTGGGTGGAAATAGTGTGAGATTAGGCAACGGCTAGCTCTCTGACTCTCCCGTGGGCATGCTTCTCTCTTCTCGCTCCCCTACCTCCTCCACCAGGATGGAGACACTTCACCCTCAGACCCACTTCTTTTGGTGGGCGCCCAGCCCAGTGTCAGCACACCTCTGGGTGCTTCACCATCGGCTCTCTCAGCTCCACTGGACTCCCCAGCACCAGGCTTTGGGGCTGGTTTTGATCGCAGGGTGAGGAGGCAGCCCTGCAGGTTATAAGGAATAGATCGAGAAGCAAAAGAAACGTACAGGAGGGGGCTTTAGCCAGCATGGGGCCCATTGGTGACCTTGGTAGGGTCAGAGACTTGAGCCATAGCTCTCTCGGTCTGTGGCCCGAGCAGTAGGGAAAACAAGGGTCCTTGCAGCTTCGTCACAGATAGGCTGTGTCATCTTGGCAAGGCCCTGCCCCTCCCTGGGCCTCAGCCCCTACACTCGCTAGAAGACCTAGACCCAGAATGGGTAGACGACCTAGACCTGAGATGTGGGCGAAGGGGCTTCTGCTCACTGGCTGCACCCCAGCTGCAGCTCTCCTACCCCGCCCAGCCCCACCTCCCCTTCCCTAGAGTCCAGTAGGGACACCACTCTCTATCCATCCCCATGGAAATTCCCAGTCCTAGTTTTGCTCTGCCAAGCCCAGAATCCACCTCTAATTGAGAACCGAAGGTTAGCACCAGTGACGGGACTTCATTTAGGACTATCCCTCTTGGCACACTCAGGGACAGTACTCACTGCTCAGAAGAGAAGCTGCTTGTCCAGGGCCAGTTAACAGTAGTGGCCCTGTCAGGCCTAGAGGACCCAGCCTGCGGCCCCGAAGCCACTCAGTGTATTTACTGTCTCCACCCTGCCTAGGTCCAATCCCCCTCCCATCTCTGAGCCTTGAAAAGATGGGCAATTCCCATAACTCTGCAGGACTGCACCCAAAGCTAGCTGGGAAATAGGAGAGAACACAGAGGCGGGTGGAAATATACAGAAGGAATTTCAGCACCATCTGCAGCGCTGAGACCCCAGGCTAGTTTAGGAAAACATAAACACGTATTAGGTAATGTTTGGTCTGCTCCATGTGGATGACTGAGAGGCATGAAGATCAGGGCAAGGGCGGGTCCCGGAGCAGAGGGATCACCGGGAATCCAGCTTTGAGCTTTATTTTGGGAGAAACTTACACGTTGGAAGAGGTAGGTGAGACCTAATTTTTGTATTTCTCAGCTCTCTCCCTTCAGGTGTTCATAACCCAAATTCAAGACCTCCTTTCCCTTTGTATTTTATGAAGATGTTGATTGTAGCGATGTGAGTCCTGGCTGGCTGTGTGACCACAGGCCTGACCTCTTCCATCTTGACCTCAGTTTCCCCATTTGAGAAGTCGGGTGGCCAAGGCCTGGGTGAAACAGGAGCAGAGGGAGCGGAGTGGGGAAGGGCAGGGCTCTGTGTTGCTGGGCATGACATGGACTCTGCCCTCCAGGCAGCAGGACATGCCGGGTAAAGTAGAAGGTCAGTGAGAAAGGGGAAGACTGTCAACAAGACGGACTGACTCAGTGGCCGCAATGATGGGCCCAAGCATAACAGAGATTGGGGGGATGACACAGGACCGGGCAGTGTTCCATTCTGTTGTACACCTACTCTTCTCTTGTACACGGTCTCTACGAATCAGGGCCGACCCGACGGCGTCTGCAACAAACAACATCGGACAGAGCCTGGTCTAGTTGGTTTAGCCACAGGCCTCGCCACCCCCTATCATCTCACCCCCAGTCCTGAAATACATTTACCTCACGTGCCTGGCCCAGAAGGCTTTGAGCTTATAGCTGCTGCCACACTCTCCACACAAAGAGCAACTCTGTCACATCCCTTCCCGCTTAATGTTTAGGGTCTAGGCTTGTTTCACTTAATTGTTTCAACAATTCCATTTTATAGATGAGATGAAACAAGGCACAGAGAGATCAAATTACATGTTCTAAGTCACACAGCTTATAAGTAACAGAGTTCAGATTAGAGCCCAGGTCTGTGTAAAGCTGCAAGCAATGGTTTTCCTAACCCCCTGCCTGCACCACACACGCACACACACAAACACACACACACACACACACAGAATGTCCTGGCAAGAGCACATCTCCGATGCTGCCTCTGTGCTGTGCACATGGAAGGGGACACGGTGCTCAGAACGGGCAGGTGAGTGACTGCAGGGCCTCAGCCCGTTTGTGCAGCAGGACTGCAGATTCATAGGACCAGCCTCCTCTTAAGAAAAGCTTCTCAGGGTTGGGGGCCTGTGGGGGTGCTTAGCGAGCACTGTCCCCTGGCCACACGTAGCAGGTTGTCATGAAGGTCCAGGTGGCAGAGGGAGATTTACTGGGGTCTCCCTGAAGGCCTGGCATAGAATGTCACAGCAGAAACGTGAGGATCCTGGCCAGGGCCCTCCACTCCAGGAGAGAGAGGACGACCTGCTCTGATTGATGCCAAGGATAGTTTGGCCCCAAGGAGACAAATTCAGTTGGGTCTTTCTTGACCCAAATCCACTCTGAAATGAGACAAACTTCCTTCCTGGCAGGGGAGAGGGGGCGTCCGCAGGGGGGTGGTATGCTGATCACTTCCTGCAGGGGGCACTACAGGGAAGCAAGTTTACAGTGTCTGGAGGTCAGCAGTTTGAGTGGTGGTGTAGTGCCTGAGGCATTTGACTGCTACCAGGAGGCTGGTGGTTCAAACCCATCAGCCACTCCTTGGAAGGAAGGTTGGGCAACCTATTTCCATAGAGATACCATCTCGGAAACCCAAGGAGGGGTCCCTATGAGTCGGAACTGACTCAACAGCAGTGAGTTGGTTTTTTTTTTTTTTTTTTTTTTTTTTTTTGAGAAGTGCTTCGGAAGAACAGCTTGGTGCCCCACTTCCAAATGATCACGGCCACTGAGGACCCTGTGGGGACAGTTCTACTCTGCACACACGGGGTCACATGAGGCGGAATCAACTCAATGACATTTGGATTCGGGAGGCATTTTGGATTGTCACAACTAGAGAGTGTACACTGACATCAAGTGGGTGGGGGCCAGAAGTGCTGCTAACTTCCCTGCAATGCACAGGACAACCCCCACACCAAAGAATGCCTGGCCCCAGATGTCCACAGTGCCAACGTGAGAAACCCTGCCCTACTCTGCCCAACCCTTAGAAGAAGCCTGGGGCCCCATCTTCAGCAACTTCTATTCTACACGGGGAGGCAGGTGATATGTGCTGACACCTTGGCTATTGACAAAGCACTGGGCCAAAAACACAGAGGCCTGCCAGGCCCCACTCTGCTTGACTAGCTGTGGGCCTTGAGTAAGTTACCTAACCTCACTGAGCCTCACTTCACACCACGTAAAATGCACATGACAAGACATGCCTGAGACCCAAGACCCCAGGATGAGCACTGTCTCTTGTCCTAGTTTCCCCTGCATTTCCCAGGCCTGGAGCAGTAGAAGGAGCCCTGGTGGTAGAGTGGTTAAAACACTCAGCTGCCAACCCAAAGGTTGTTGGTTCAAACCTACCAACCACTCCATGGGAGAAAGATACAGTAGTCTGCTTCTGTAAAGATTTACAGCCCTGGAAACCCTATGGGGCACTTCAACTCTGTCCTTCTGGGTGTCTACGAGTCAGAACTGATTCGAAGCCACTCGGTTTGGTTTTTTTGGCGGGGGTTGAAGCCTTTAAGACTCTGAGAATAATCACATTCTGCCTCAAGTGGCCCCTAAAGTCAGGGCTATAATTATCCTATGAAGCGTGTGGGATCGGAGGACAGCCAGGTATGAGTCAGGAACCCCAGGTTTACATCAGAGCTCTGCCATGTTCAAGCTATGTGTCCTGGGGCAATAGCCTTCTCAGTCTGGGCAGCAGTTTTGCCATCCACAAAAGAATGGGGCTGGCCTTTCCAGCTCAGTCATCTCGGCACCTGGCCTGGCCTGCTTCCTGGGTGATCGTGAGCCAGGCCCTCCTGTCTCCTGAGCTTCCTTGCCTCTGCTCTGGACAATGAGGGCTATGGCTTACTGCTCAGGATCACTGGGAGATGTCAGCACAGTGGAGAACATGGGCTCTGGAGCCAGACAGCTAGGGTTTGGGTTTCTGGTCCTGCTCCTTTACTTGCTCTGTGACCCTGGACAGGCAGCTTCAGCTCTCTGGGCACTGGTTTCCTCATCTGTAAATTGGGGATAGTAGCATTACCTCCCTTGGAAGATTGTTGGAAGGCTTAGATGAATGAACACATATAAAGTGGCTAGAACAGTGCTTGGCGTGTGGTGAGCCCTGTATCCCTTGTTGGCACTGGTCAGTGGCTGGTGGGAACCATCGCATGGCCTGACTCCAGGCTCAGTCCCCCTTCTCTCTCTCTTGCAGGACAATGCCATCCTCCATCTCCTGGGGCCTCCTTCTCCTGGCAGGCCTGTGCTGCCTGGTCCCCAGCTCCCTGGCTGAGAGCACCGAGGGAGACGCTGTCCAAGAAACAGATGCATCCGAACATGACCATGACCATCCCCCAGCCTGCCACAAGATTGCCCCAAACCTGGCCAACTTTGCCTTCAGCCTGTACCACGAGGTGGCCCGTCAGTCCAATACCACCAACATTTTCTTCTCCCCGGTGAGCATTGCTGTAGCCTTCGCGCTGCTCTCCACAGGGGCCAAGTCTGACACCCTCACCGAGATCCTGGAGGGCCTGGAGTTCAACCTCACCGAGACATCCAATGCCGAGATCTACGAAGGCTTCCAACACCTGCTCCACACCCTCAACCAGCCAAATAGCCAACTCCAGCTGACTGCCGGCAATGGGCTCTTCATCAACGAGAGCATGAAGCTAGTGGAGAAGTTTTTGCAGGATGCCAAGAAGCTGTACCACTCAGAAGCCTTCTCTGTTAACTTCCTTGACACCCAAGCAGCTATGAAACAGATCAACGATTACGTGGAGAAGAGAACCCACGGGAAGATTGTGGACTTGGTCAAAGATCTGGACCAAATGACAGCTCTTGCTCTGGTGAATTACATTTTCTTTAGAGGTAAGTTGCACTACCAGCCTGAATCAATTCCTATGGAAACATCCAAACTCCAACACTCAGTTCTTGATCTCCCCTTGTTGATGCAGTATAGGGCACACCAGTGTATCTCAAATGTATGTCATTACATTTTCCTCATGCAACCAAGAAGGATCCTTTCATAGTCAAATAATTTCAAGGAATGCTGGGTTAAACAGAGTCAAATCCTCTTCTTCTCTGCAGGACTTTTCAGAGCCTTTAATGATCCTAATGTACATTATAAATCTCTACCAGGGAGAAGAAGTAGATTGTATAATATTTCCAAAAATGTACACTCAGAATTTTTCTTTTAGAACATCCAAAAGGAAAGTGTTTCACAGAATATTCTTTGAAGACCTCTGGTGTAATGGAAGGCATGTTGGTTTAGGAGTCAGAAAGACCTGGGTTCAAATCTTGAACTTATGAGATATATGATCATGGTCAAGCCACTTCACCTCTCTGAGGTTCTAGTTTCTCATCTATAATATGGAAATCATAAAAGCCCAGCTGTCAAGTGGTTGTAAGGAGTAAATTAGTTAGGGAGCCCCTGGGTGATATAAGCAGTTAACACACTTGGCTGCTAACCGAAGGGTTGGAAGTTTGACTCTACCTAGGGGTACCTCAAAAGAAAGCCTGGTGACCTACTTCCAGTAAATCAGCCACTGGGAACCCCATGAAGCACAGTCCAACTCTGACACATATGTGGTCACCAGGAGTTGGAATTGACTGAAAACCAACTCGTTTTTGGTCTAAAAAAAGTTAGAAACCACACAAGACTGTGCCCAACACAAAGTAGGTGCTCAAGTAATGTCATATCTGAGCCTGCCTTTCTGCCTCTGAGTGTTTAAAAACCCGGGAACTTGTAGGCCTCAGAGAACATTCTAAGCCAGTGTTTAAATCGTCCCATGACAATTGGCTGGGGTATCCCACGGTCATCAATTAGGGTGGGGAGCTGAGTTCAAGGCAAGGGGTGACTTGCTTCACACACTCAGCTCCCTTCTTCTGGAGGCACAGGGATGCAGTACAGAGAGACCAGGGTCAGGCACCTGCATTTCCTGGCTTGGTCCAGGAAAAGGCCTTTTGAGTGGTCACAAGAGTATTTCCCTTGAGCCCTGACTGAATCACCCATTTATATGGCAAAGTGGTGCCAAAATATGGCTTGGGGAGCTTCACACCTCTCCCAGTCATTGTCACTGATCATCCTCCCACCAACCTCAAATAAAAACACTCATTCTTCAAAGCTCGTGGCAAGATAAAGCCTGGCCCAGACAGTCTGGTGCCTCTAAGCCTCTGAGACAGTCATTCGGGAACCTCTTCTGGCCTCAAACTATCTTCACAAAAGCCTTTGCAGTAGCCTGGATGGACCTAGTTTGGGACCCATTTATACAGATGAAGACACTGAGGGTCAGAGAGAAGTGTCTCCCCAAGGGGCTCGGAGTTTTCCTTGAGCTTGGAGCCCACCACCCTGATTTAAATCTTGGCCCCAATCCTGGCTGATGTCCACTTCTTCTGTCTCCAGGCAAATGGAAGAAGCCCTTTGAGGCGGAGCAGACCCAGGATGGAGAATTCCACGTGGATGAGACGACCACGGTCACGGTGCCCATGATGAGCCGCTTAGGCATGTTTGACCTCCATAGATGCCAGGAGATGTCCACCTGGGTGCTGCTCATGGAGTACATGGGCAATGCCACGGCCATCTTCATCCTGCCAGACCCGGGAAAGATGCAGCAGCTGGAGACTCGGCTCAGCAAGGAACTCCTCTCCAAGTGGCTGGAGTACAGACACCCAACGTAAGTCCCCAGCCAGGGGCTGGGCTATGTGAGGACCAGCCAGAAGGCTGGGCAGAGTGGACCCCAGGTTCTTGGGGCCACAACTGCTGTGATGGCTTTCTGCCTATGGACAGAGCACTGAGCTTAGTTCCATCAGCACCACCTGGGCCCTGTGAAAGGGACTAAGGTCCTGTCCTGTGGGGTGTCCCCCTTAGCATGGATGCTGACCTCTCCTGAGATCCAGCACCTGGTACAAGGAAAGAGACACCAACACAGTGCTATAGGAAGCCAAGACCACAGAGGGCCTTCCTGGCCAAGGTGGCTACGGGGTTTGGAGTTAAAGCTTAGCAGATCAATAGACAGACAGGGCCTGTCTGCAGAAGGCATGGCCGTAGCAAAGGCCCAGAAGTCGGGAAGTTGAGGGTGTGTTTGTCACTAGATCAGGGTGCTCTGATGGGTGTTCTGGTAGGAAAAAAAAATACACTTGAACATAAAAAACAAATAAGTGTATGTTCGCTTATTCATCAATATGCCTGTGTTCTATGGAACTTATTATTTTTTTCTTTAAAGGAGGAGAAGTGTATTAGAAGGACTCTAACTTATATTTTAAGCCAAATTTAGTTCACCTACTTTGTTTAGACACTTCATCTCAGTTTTCTGCCTTTTAAATATCCTAGATCCTTAAGCCTTTTCCTAGAAGGGCTGTTTCACAAATCTTTTTTTAAAAAAATGTATCAAGTTTTATTTATGTTGTTGTTGTCGAAAATACACATAGCAGAACACACACCAACTCAACAGTTTTTACACATACCATCTAATGATGCTCATCACATGCTTTGAGTTGTGCTACCATTGCTACTGGACTACTTTATTATTCACTTCATGAAACAAACTAAAATAAACCACACCCAATGCCTCCAAGTCAATTCTGACTCATGGTGACCCTTTACAACAGCATAGAACTGCCCGGTAGGGTTTTCAAGGCTGTCATCTTTACAGAAGCAAAACCCAAACCACACCCACCCATGGCCATGGAGTAAATCCCAACCCACAGCGCCCCTAGAGGCCAGAGTGGAATAACATCAGAGGGTTTCCAAAGCTGTAATCTTCAGGGAAGCAAAGTTGAAGCCAAACCCATTGCAGTGGAGTTCACTCTGAGTCACAGCGTTCCTGGAGGACAGAGTGGAACCGCCCCACAGGGTTTCCAAGGCTGCAAAACTTTGCAGAAGCAGACCACCTCATCATCCTCCCTTGGAGCAGCTGGTGGGTTTGAACCAAAGACCTTTTTGATTAGCAGCCAAATACTTTAACCACTATGCCACCAGAGCTCCTTGGAATCAATGAAGTATCAGGTTAAAATATGAATAGACATTTCCATAGAAGTTTGAATCCCCGGCACACCCCTCTCTGGTCCCTGTACCCCAAGAGAACGAGGCAAGCATTGAGTCCAGCATGGGCCAGTGAGCCTTGGGAGGCAGTCTGCTCACTTGTGTTGGACCCCTTCTGGGCCTCACTCTTTCCCCACAGCAAAAGAGCACCGAGCAATTGAGCCATCTAACCTCATGAATCACTCATCACGCATTTGATAAACACGTGGCCCTCGGCACCTGCCATCACATGTCCTGAGCAGCATACTGGGGACTCAGGCCCTGAGGGGATTCCCAGGCCAGCAGGGAAACAAACCACTGTGGCTCAGAGTAAGACATGCTTTGCAGAGGGCACTCTGATTTTGCCTGGAAGGACTTCTCAGAGGAGGTGGCATTTGAGAGAGCCTTGCCAGGGCAAGAGGACTCCTTTGAACATCAACATTCTCTGAGCCTGTGTGCAAAGGGAGTGAAGACGTAGCATAAGCCAAGACTTGTGCTTGGCGTGGGTGGGAAGACTGGGCTCTAAGTGGGGGAAACAGCAAGGAAACGCTTGCACCGTGTGCAGTCCAGCAAGCTTGGGCCTTCCTGCACTCTGAACTGCTCCCGGCCTTTCCCTTCATGATAGGTCTGCCGCACTGCATTTTCCGAAACTGAGCATTTCTGGAACCTACGATCTGAAAGAACTCCTGGGCAAGCTGGGCATCACCAGGGTCTTTGGCACTGGGGCGGACCTCTCGGGGATCACTGAGGATGCAGCCCTGATGCTCTCCAAGGTGAGATCACCCCCTTTCGTCTGTTGGTTAAAATGTTTGGGGGGACACAGCTCAGGCAAGGGGAGCACGAACAGGACCCTCTGAGGAATCCAACCAGAGTCCTAACATTGGCATCCAGTAACGTGCCTTCATGTGCGTCTGGCGTTTCAATGATCTCGACGGAGGGAGCCACTGACCCCCGTGTCACTTTCCCTTCTTTGTGACTCAGCTTACCCCTGCTTACAAAGAGAGGCTCAGGCTTGGTGAGTTCAAAGGACTTTCCAGCTCCAGCGTCTTCTGATGTTTGGTGCTATTGGGCAGATCACCGAGACAGGGTTTACAGATGGTTTCAGCCAAACAGGCCGTTGATTCAGGCAGATAAAGGGCCATCAGAGAAACCACCGCAGGTCAGTTACTGACTGTGGACTCAACGCCTGGTTTTGAATGAGGCACTTTGAAGATCACTTCAAAGTCCTTGTTCCAAGGAGCTTTAAACCTAATGGCAGAAACAAGACAGACATGCAAGGCAGACAAAAGGTGCAAGGAAATCTTCACATCCTGAAGTTGGGGGTTTTGTCCCGTGAAGCGGAGAGAGGCAGGTTGGGAAGGAAGAGGTGAGTGTGATGGGGGAATCAGGGAAAGGTATTGAGAAGGTGAGGGGAAGGCCTGTGTGTACACGGGACAGAGGAAAGAACTGGACAAGGAAAGGACTGTGCAGGCACCGAGAGGCCCCAGTACAGTGTTGAGAGGCAAGGAAGGAATCAGGCTCTGGGGAGGGAGGAGGAGAAGGAAGAGGTGAGACAGGGTCAGGTGTGCTGTGACCACCTGATAGAGCCTCACAGTTGCCAGACTGAAGATTTAAAATTGCGTCCTTCATTCACATGCCTGTGCGCACACACATGAACACAGTCACACACACACACGAGTGCTCACACATGCATATATGCATGCACAGGCACACACAGAAAATGCATGAACACACATACACCCACGCATACACATGTATACATGCACAAAGGCACACACATGCATGTGTACACACATATCTCCATACATGTACAGATAACACAGGTGTACACACTCACATGCATGCACATACACACGTGTGCACATACACCAAAAAACCAGTCACACATATACACACATGCACGCATATATGGATGCAGAATCAACACACACGCAAGCATACACACACAGCCACTCAGGCAGGTGCACATGCATGCACTTGCAGCCACACACCCACACATGACACACATACATGTACTGAGTGCCTATGCTGCGCTAGGCCTTTTACATGAATCGTCACAGGGGCCTATCAGACCCCTGGGATTCTGCTGCAATTCTCTGGTTTAGAAAACCCAGGCTGCAGGAAGCTCAGCAATCCCACCGCAGCGATGCAACTAGTGGGAAAAGTGGGATTTGAACCCAGAACCCTGCGGTGGAGAACCATATTCTTTCCACCATACCATGGTGAGCCACTTGTAAATACTGCTGTTAGTTCGTTGGTGAACATGCTCATGTGCACACACCCAGCCTGGACCCAGTTGGTTGATTTGTCGTCAATGTAGTTTTCAGTTTAGGAAATGTTAGCAGGACGAAACTCCTGGAAGGTCGCCATGGCAACAGTCCGCCCTGGCACCCGGCAGCGGTCCCTGTGCCGGCAGCCCTGCTCCAGGGCTGGGTGGGCTGGTGCGGCCGGCTCCGGCTCCCCCTCACAGCTGGTCTTCTTCTGTGCTTCTGCCCCTCCAGGCGGTGCACAAGGCTGTGCTGACCATCGACGAGAAAGGGACTGAAGCTGCTGGGGTCACCATCTTGGAAGCCATCCCCATGTCTCTGCCCCCCACTGTCAAATTCGACAGCCCCTTCCTTCTCTTGATCTATGATAAGGAAACCAAGAGCCCACTGTTTGTGGGAAAGGTGGTGAACCCCTTACAAAAGTAAGGGCCTCTCAGGCTCAGCGCGCCCCTCCCAGGCCAGGTCTCTTGTCTCAGTGACCAATAAAGTGTGCACTGACCCGGCTTAACTTGCGTGTCAACTTGCCAACCTCCTCATCTCATTCCCTGGGTTTCCCTTCATACCCTAAGGATATGTGTGGGATCAAGGTCACAGGGCTCTCTCATGTGTCCGTTTTATTGATAAATCACAGGAAGAAGATGTGGCAATCTGCTTGTGTAAAGACTTACATCCTTGGAAATTCTATAGGCCAGTGCTACTCTGTCCTGCAGGGTCACTATGAGTCAGAATCGACTTGATGGCAGTGGGTTGGTTGGTTGACTGGAAGTGCTTATTATTAAGCCAGGCACTGCTCTAGGCACAAAGAATTCAAAGATGAAGTATTGGCTGAAATCCACATTTGACAGGCTTCTGCCTCAGCTCATCTGTGCAGAAGCTCCGGGCTTTCCTGTTACGTCTGGAACTTGCCCAGCTGACTGAGCACGGGCTCAGAGACCACATGCTGTCCTCAGCCCGCCCCCCCCCCAAGCCTCCAGCACGTTCTCCTGTTAGCCTCCCTTCCAACACTCACTGCTCCACCCTGTGAGAGCCCTCAGCCCTGCCGGGCTGGCAGTGCCCACCCAGACTGCCCACCTCCTGCCGTTTCTCCTGGAGCTGTCAGCCTGCATGGACGCACTGAGCTGCTGCATCTCCAGCAAAGGGAGCAACAAGTCCACCCCTCCCATCTCATCTTGCTTTGTCATCAGAGCCACACTGGAGCCCTTACATCTTTCAGGGTCTTTCCTGCCAGCAGTCCCTGCAGATTTTTCCCGTAGCTCTTTCTCCATGGGGCTGGACACTCCTGCCCAGCCTCATGGAGAAAGACCTATGGGAAAAATACACATACTGTCTTCCCTGTCATTCCCAAATCTATTGAGTAATCCCAACACATGATGACCTTTTGTGTCAAAGCAGACCTGAGTTCCATAGGGTTTTCAATGGCTATGACCTTTTGGAAGTACATCAACAGGCCATGGATCAAACCATCCATCTTTTGGTTAGCAGCCAAGCACTTAATTATTTGTGCCACTCTAAAAAAACCAAACTCACTGCCATCGAGTGGGATCCAACTCATAGCAACCCCTCCCCGGGTTTCTGAGGCAGTATCACTATGGAAGTAGATTGCCCAACCTTCCTTGTGCCACTCAGGGGCTCCTATTTCCACCCCAGGAGTTCCCAAATACAACTCCTCTTAGAAGCCGGTCCCTTCTCCCCAGGTGAAGAGAATGTTCCCTGGGCCTTGGTCTTTTTCCCTCCTTCAAGTTCATCCAGGAACCCCAACACCACCACCACACTTACCCTGTGTCCTTTTCTCCTTAGCCATGTGCCCAAGATACTTCAGGTGGCTCTGGAGAGTCATTTCCCAGCCTCCCCTCAGTCACTGGGAGGGGAAGCATGATCCCCTCCTTGGTCCCTGGGAGGGGAAGCGTGGCCAGCTGGTTGACTCCCCAACCTGCTACCTGTTCTCCTTTTGGATAAACTGGGGCCACCTTGCAGCATGTGCCTAGTTCCTCCAGGGCCATAACCATGGTCTTCAGAGGCAACCCCAGCTCAGGTGCCAACACTGGAATCAGTCCAGGGAGTGGTTTTTGTTAGTGAGGGCTGCCTGCTCCTCCCCATCCCTGAGCCCTGTTTAAGGGCCACAAATCCAGGAGCCTTGCAGGGCCCCCATCTGGACGGTCTACTCTCTGCTGGATTTACAGAAATGTGTTTGTCCTGTGGGACGTACATCCATCTCATGCATGTCCAGTCATCTCCTCTCTGGGCCAGGCTCTGGGGATGTCTACCTCCAGTATGAGGTTGAACCATGTGCCGTTGTCACTATTTAGGTCAACAATGGTCAAATAGCAATAATCTCACAGGACTCACTCTAACAGAGAAAGGTCTTGATGGTTTCCCAAACAAATCTAAGTTTCCTCTGCTCAGCTACCTCTGACTTCCACAAATTCCATTAATAACAGGAACATCATCACCTATCTAGTGATGGTAAGGCTTGAAGATGAGATGATCTGGATTCAAGGTCAGTCTCTGCCATTTACCAGCTGTGTGACCTTGGAGAAGTCACCCACAGCACATACCTAGGAGGTTCTGCCCCACCAACCCAGGAACTCCCAAACACACTTCCTCCTAGAAGCAGGCCCCCTCTCCCCAGAAGAGAGGGTTCCCTGGGTCTTGCTCTTTATTTCCTCATAAGGCTCACCCAGAACCACTAGCGGTCCCAAGACCACCAGGGGAAAGCAGGCCAGCATTTAAACTTCCGCAGCCATAGCAAGCACTCCTCAGATTCCCCACCGGTGGTTTTCTAGGGGAATAAGGGGGCAGAGTTGCACATTGGGGTTCTTGAGAAACCAAATTCCTGAGGACAGAGAAGGGTGGGAGACCTGAAGGGCTTCTCTCAGGCACCATCATTTTTCTCCTAAGACTCATCCATCCTAGTTGGGACTCAGTTGTGAGAGATGCCAATTCAAACCAGCTGAAAGCCCCCCCCCCCAAATGGAATTCAGGGCTCATATAGGAACCAACTGGGGCACATCAGGACACCCATGGTACAAGGAGGGCAATTGTGTGCCCAACATCAGTGGCATGGCAACAGTAAGTCCTCAGCTTTGCATTGTCCTTTAGAGAATTGAAAACTATAGTCATGTCTACTTCAGGCCTCACAACGTGTCCTTGAGGAACACAGACTTGGGACTGCTATCCCCAGTGTACAGATGGGAAAGATGAGGTCCAGGGAGGTTAAACGGCCTGCCCAGTGAAGTCAGAAGGCAAGTCCTCTCCTCAGGGCCTGTGCTGCCCCACCACATATGCTTCTCCAGTTGCCATAGGATCAAAATGAAATTCCAGTCTGTGCCTCCTAGTCCACTTGCAGCCACCTTGCAGCCCCAACACCAGCTGACACCACTGCTGCTGTGACATTTCATTTTGGGTTGATTCAACTTCACATTGAGGCAATTCCAGGCCAGGCTCCCTCTCCAGGCAAGGACCTGGCCCTGTTCCACAGAGCAGTGAGAGGGAAGATACAAAGCAGCATCCAGGATTCACCCAGGGACAACACAGCAATGACCCTTCACACCAGTCCATTGTTCCCAGGGAAAGATCACAAGATTTAGAGCCCAAACAAAGATAAGTGAAACTTTGGTTTGAAGTCCCACCTTTACCCCTACTGATGCTGGCATCTTGGGTCCCTAAGCCACATTTGTAAAATGGGGACAATGGTCAGGGTGTTTCTGCTTTTCTCAGTTGTGAACAGCAAAAACAGGAACCACAGAATCATATGTGGATTCTCCCCTCAGCTCAGTTATCTTCTCCAGAAGTCCAGGGGGTGGGCAGCCATTCAATAAACAAACAAGCGAACATTTACTGTATACTTACTGAAAACCAGTCACTGCCAAGGTGATTCTGGCTCCTGGGGACCCATGCGTGTCATGGTAGAACTGGCTTTGCTCCACAGGGTTTTCAAGGGCTCATTTCTCAGGAGATCTTCAGGTCTTTCTTCCAAGGCCCCTCTGGGTGGACACACACCTCCAATCCCTTGGTTAGCAACTGAGTGCACTAACTGTACCACCCACAGACTCCAAGTACCCCCTACCTCCTGTGGACTAGAGGAGAAGGAAATTCAGGTCTACCTCGAAGACTGCACACCCACTTGGGCAGAGGATGAGTGCATGAATGAGGTCTAGCAATAGGGTGTGTGTAGAGCTGCAGGCCCTTCCCAGAGCCAGTGGGAAATGGTCAATAAACCATCACCAGCATCCCGAGAGGCCCTCTGACGCTGTCTCTTACTGGGCTTTCACAACTGTGGAGCAAACAGAATGTGCAGTGGGATTGCCCCCAGACCTCACAGGGGAGCTTCTGACAGCTGAGCTAGCTTTTGGAGGGCAAATGGAATTCTCCTGGGCAGAGAGAGCAGAGAAGGACACTCACCTTGACAAGACCCATCTCTAGGTCCTTAACCACATCTGTAGGCCCTTCCCAAATAAGTTCACATTCACAGGTTCTGGGGATCAGGGTGTGAACATGTCTTTGGGGGCCATTATTTCATCCAGCACAGCCCATAACTTCCCAGGGAGGGAATAATGCTGAGGGAGGGAGTGAGGAAGTGAAGTGGATGATGGTATGAAGGAAGGCTGCCACCAAGGAGCACTGTGGAACCAAACCTGGAGACCAGGAAGGGCCATGAGATGGGATGAGATGGGAAGAGAAGGGAAGGCACTCAAGGTGGGGGACAGCAAGAGTGCAAAAGACCCATTCAAGGAGGTGGGAAGAAGTTCCTGTGGCTTGCAGACTAGCCACCATGCAAGGTGGGAGCTGCCTGGAGACACATGAGGGCAATGTGAACAGACCTCAACTAACAGATTCTACAGCAGAAACGTTCTCAGGAGTGACCTGGGTTGGGGTGGCCTCTGGAATTACCTTTAGGTCACTCTTGTAGACACCTTGTCATGGTCCTATGTCACTTGTTTCAAGCAGAGCCAAGCTTTGGTCCCCAGAAGAGAAGAGAGGGAAGAGGAGGTCAGTGGCTTCTCCCCACCCTTGGCCGCCCACCCAGAATCCTACTCCCTTTCTTGCCTGGTGGAAGGGGGCAAGGCTCTCTCAGACCAGAGAGGAGTGCACAAAGCTGTTCACACTCAAGTGAATGTGGCTGTCTTGGCTCAATTTGTGATGCCTACCTTGGGAGTAAAAAGGGGAAGTGACTGTTCTAATTGTCATACCATGGTGGTGACCCAGGGCTTTGTGAATCTTTGCCAGTTGTGATAGAAGTGATTTCCCCACAGTGGTGGGAAACTGAGGCTCAGAAAGAGAAGCCAGGGTGGTGCTAGGAGGGGTGGCAGCATCTGTCATCACAGAAAGGGCCTGGCCTGGCTTGGGTTCTGGCTGAAAGACTCCTCACTGCGTGATGTCAGATAAACCACTCTCTGGGCCTCCCTGTTCTCACTGCCAACACCTGGAGGGCATCACCCTCAGCATGGAAGTCAAGAGCACTTTGGAAAGTGGCCACTCCCAGCATCGTGTGAGCAGCGTCCCCTTGCCTTTCCAGCCCTAGGTCTCTGAGGGAGTCAGACATGGGGTTGTTCTGTGGTTCTGAATTCCCTTAGAGAGGGCTCCATCATGTGTGAACGTGAGTGAGTGTGTGACCATGTTTATGTGTGTGTGTGAGTGTGTGCTGTGTATGTGAATATGTGTGAATGTGGGGGTATGTGTGTGTATTTGTGCATGTATGTGGTGTGTGTGAGCATGTATTGTGTGTGTATGTGTGCATATGTGTATGTGTGGTAAGTGAGGATGTGAGCATGTGTGAGTATATTGTATGTTTGAGCGTATGCATGTGGAATGTATGAGTGTCTATGTATGTGTGTGGTGTGAGCATGTGTGTATATGTTTGTGAGTGTATGTCTGTGTGTGTATATGTGTGTACATGTGAGTGTATATGTACATAGTATGTGTGATTGTGCATGTAAACATATGAGTGTGTGTGTGTTGTATGTATGAGTGTGTGTATGCATTGTGTGTGTGTGTGTGTGTGTGTGAGACAGATGCAGACTGAGTAAGTGTGAGGTGCCCTAACTCCCACACTCAGAACAAGCACCTCCCTCCAGGAGTGACTTTTACTCCTTCTCCCTGTCACACTCTGTTGTTGTTGTTATGTGTCGTCGAGTTGGACCCGACTCCTAGCGACCCCTCCTTGGTTTTCCGAGGCAGTATCACTACAGAAGTAGATTGCCCCATCTTCCTTCCGAGGAGTGGCTGGTGGGTTTGAACCACCAGCCTTCTGGTTAGCAGTCAAGTGCCTTAGCCACTATGCTACCAGAGTTCCCACTCTACCACCCCTTCATGTCCCACTTGGAAGTTGGCTGCTGTCACCCCTCCACGCCTGGACAAATGGGCTGTGTAGCCCGGAGGAGAAGGACGCAGGGTCCAGTTCCAGATGAGTGGTCTTCCAGGTCCATGACCCTAGGAATCACAACCCTGTGACTGCAGGCAGCTGACAACTGTTGAGTGTCAACCAGGTATCAGCCATTGTTCTAGGCACTGGGCGTGAATTAAGTCACTTGCTCTTGTCAATAGCCTTAGGAGGCAGGTATCAAGGAGACAACCGGTTGGTCTTGGAAGGCCCTGGGCTCCCTTCCATGCCCCATCTCTCCTCTTCCTGGCGGCCTGGCAGCCTGCTCCTCCACTGGACTAAGCACTTGAGCACGGGGTCCCTGTAGTAGGTGCA